GGGTGATGGAACCTGTCCCTTGATTTATATGCCTTAATTTCTACAAAAATGGGGATAATAATTCTTACCTAGTTCATAACCGGTGAGGATTAAATAATAGACATTTACACAGTGCTTTGCAAATAAACATTATATAAGTGCTAAGTATTATGATATTAACCAAAATGTCACTAAATCTATATGATCCTACTAAGCAAAAAAACTTTCAGTATAATTTTTTTTCATGTATTTCCAAGTCAATAAAAATGAGCCATGGAGTCAACTGGCTATTTCAATACAAATGAACTAAGTACTTTAACCTATTTGACAGTTTAAAAAAAAAATCCAGAATCTATTCATTCCATTGTAAAGGGGCCCATGTAGTGAATGAAGCCTTTTTTATAGACTTGCTTATAAATATCATTATTCATTTGGCATTCAAGTTATTTTTCAAATACCAGACAAAACTTCTGAGAAAGATTCTTTAGCAATCCATATACACTAAGTGAAGGCCTCTTCCAAGGAAATTCTGCTCAGTGGCTGCTGTTTTGATGATCTTGGAAATGTCACACTTCTCAAATGAAAGATTACACAAAAATCAGGCTGGATGATGGTGGACAATAAATGAGGCTTGGCATGCCTGAGAATCTCAAACAATTACAATACTTTTAACCTTTAATAAGCACCTCAGGACCATGACTAGGTAATATTCAACCTCCAACCTACTTGAGAAAATAATTAAAAAACAAAACCAAAACAAACAAACAAACAAACAAAAAAAGAGACCACACATTAACAGAGATAGAATAGACACTTTGGTCCAAATTCTCAACTTGTATGGCTCACTGGAGCTCCACATGATGAATGGAGCCACAGTGACTTACACTTAGGGAAATGTACAGTCCAATATGTGGTAGGCCAGGTAGGACACTTCATTTCTTCCCAATGGTGTAAAGATGACAAGAAGAGGAGGCCACCTGCATGCATCATCCAAAACCAGGCAAAGCTTTTCACACCACCACTAAAGCAATTGGCCCATTCAAGAAAGCAAAGCAGARCCAGTTTTGGCGACAACCCTTACACAGTGCACCTTTTCATTTCCTTTCATGCTAAATGAAATGCAAGAGCAGCATGAAGCACCTTGGCAGAGTCACAGCAACACCCTGTCCCTCTCCCCAAGGCTGAGCTGTGGTACCTCGTTCAAAGCAGGCTAAGCTGATAAATCTTGCCACCTTCCTCCCTTCTGCAGTAGAGAGCAAAAGTGTCCTTGAGACATCCATGAAAAGCACTCAGAAAAAAAGTAAGAATATGCTACACTACCAGCCTTGTTTCATCTTAGCAGGGAATTGTATTCATGTTGCCACTGTTTTTTGAATTCCATAAAGAAGCAAAATTTCTGAGAGAAATCTACATTTTTTTTGCTGTATCTAATAGAACAGCAAAGGTGGGAAACTTTTTTCTTCTCATACAAGGTGGTGCATACTGCTTGTGTATCTTGTAATACTTTGAGATGATAGGTAGCGCTTCTCAGCCTCACTCAGATGCCTGAGAAAATTCAGACCCCAAGCCTACAACTTCAACAAGCTCATTCTATGGAATTATTTGAGGGTGAAAGTCACTCCTTTCTGGAAGTCCACCGCAGGACTCAAAAAAAAAAAATCATATAGGCCTCTCTAAAATTCTCAAAAGAGGATTTGAAAGGCTAACAATTAGATTGCAGGTAACAAGCAGCCCCATTCAGTGGATAGCTCTATGCCTTTGGTCTTCAACACTTCCAACACTTTGTATCTAATTCTCTCTCAATGGCTGTGGGTGTGGGTGTCCAGAACAATAGGTTACTTACTGTAGCCTAAACCATCCTTATGGTAATGTCTATTATTTTTCAGATCTGCATTTTAGAAGTGCTGGAATCACTCGAAATATTTCTCATTTCAGCCAGAATTTCATAAATCATCACGAATAACATTTTACTTTCTAGACAATGTTTTGTTTTAATAAGAATTTGTTATTTGCCTGATATTTGGTCTGTATTTCTCAGCAACAAGTAACACTACTTTTATATTTTGGCCTTGTTTTAAGAAGGTATTAGGCTTTCACAGAGAGGTAAAAAAGGCAGGCAACTTTTATCAGCCCCAGCAAACCCAAGACATTAACTACTTCTCACATAATAAATAGAAGGGAAATGGCACAATTCTGACATTCCAGAAATTTTGCTTGCTAGAAAATATCAAAACTTGAAGGAGAATAAAAACCGAAAAAAAACCAACCAAACAAAAAAAATAAGAAAAGTGTCTAAAAATTATCCTATGCATGATTTTTTGCCCTACAGTAATATTTGGATTTGATAAATATCAGCAAAAGCCAAAACTAGTAATGGATTGCTAAACAAGACATAAAAAGCAGGCCTAATAATGGTGCTATTCAGAGGATAACCTTCCACCAACACAGACCTTGGTAGTGAAAGTAACAAATAACTATCTTGTTATATCAAGACAAGACCAGCATTTRTACCTTCCTCTCTCCTTCCCACCAACCTTTTTTTTAAAAACCCAAACCTAATTAGAAATGAATAACAGAAAATGTAAAACTGGGGAGGAGGGTCAGTAAATCCAGACACTTTGGTAATATAATTTAAAGGATTTCCCTGCTCCCCATCCTTGCTAGATTTATAGTAGCTACTTTGCTTAAGCATTAACTTAATAATCGGTGTCCAAAACACAGGCAAACATTAAAATGGCCAAATGTTGAACTTGTCCTCTCCTGCAGAACACTTCTATGTGTTSTTTTATCTTGTTTGGGTTTATTGTTTTGTTTTTTACTTAAAATCATGTGAAAGTGTCAGACTGACTTTTCAGCTTGCTTCCCAGAAATATGGCACATTAAGTTGACTAGAAATCATAGTATCTACCTTCTCCCATATGTRATACATATAACTTTATCCATTCACAGAAGACTCGGACTGACATTTTGGCAAGGAGCTGCAATGCACCAGTCTGAGCGYAAAGGATTTAAGTTATGGTTCTTGCAGAATTGGTTATTAACAGAATAAGTACGGCTATTTTTTTTAATCTATAATATTTACAGTATTGCACTTTACTGCACTTAATTGCATTTCACTAAAATTAATGCTGCATCAGTATTATGCCTTAAAACCATATGTCCATCTTTGTAGTATAACTCATTCTTTCTACATCGTGTAAAACAACGAGTTTTTGATTCAAAGATCTAGGCATTTGGGAGGGAAAAAAAGAAAAATCGTCCTGTTTCTATGGCACAATACAACTCTTTGAATTCAGGTGATTCTGGCAAAACTGGTGCATTACTTATTGTTCCCATCCTTCAAGTTATCATTAACAATTAGTAAATTCTAGTCTCTCTTTTTCTCCTTTCAAAGGACATAGCCATTAGAGACACACACTTTTTTGTTATTGCTGCCTTTTTTTCAAGGAAAGAAAAGAAGGAAAATAAAAACCTGCTTTGCCTCAGATCTGAAATTCCACATTTAAATTCAAACCAGTTCTGCAGCAGCAGCAGCTCCTCAGTGATGGAAGAGATTCATGGCAGTGAAATAATACTGTTGGCAACAAAGAAATGTCATCTTTAATGGAGACCAGCCCCAAGGATTTATTATTTATTATTATTACTATTTGTTTTGTTTAGTTTCGTTCTAATATATTTCTGATCTTCAAAACGTGTTTAGTTTGACACATGCACAAGGTAGCAAAACTGACAGCAGCAGATGACGTTATGACGGAGCGATCACTTTTGCCAGGGTCAAAAAATCCAAAGTGTCCCCAATGTTCACAGATTAACATAATTTAGAGATCGTTTCCTTTCTTTTTTTTTTTTTTTTTTTTTTTTTTTTGCTATTTCTTTTTTAAACTCTCTTTGCTCTCTCTCCTCCCACCTACTTTGTCCTCCGAGGAGTCTCTGACTGGCGGGTGCGTGTGTTGTGTCCGGCGGGCGGAGTGTCCCCACCGCGCCACGCAGCGCTTCCCGGCCGCCGAGTCCCTGGGGCCGAGCGGAGCGGCGGGAGGGCGCGGCCGCCGAGCGC